TTAAACCATGTTTACCGTTTACTTCAAAACTATACTATATTAACAGTGTTTCCACAAGCTTCATAAAGGATTAAACATACAAGATTTTGGGCAATTAGTCCTACTTTTTATAAAATATAAAATGCTGCTAAACATATTTCTATTAAGCATTATTTTATTAATTTCTACCCTACAGGGGCAGTGTTCACAGTACATCTTAGTATACAAATATCGAGGCCAGTATCATAATGGTGTGGACAAGCGAGAATAAAAACATCATTACATAAACAGAAATAGACCAGAAATAAAATTAATACAACTCTTGATAAAATCAAATTGTCTACGGGGTCTTCATAATAGCTACAAAAGGTAGAATCTATAACCTTTAGGAGAGCCACTGTTGAAAAAACCTTTACTAAAGCAGAAAATGATCAAATTAGCGCTTGGACAATTTCTATTGTAGTAACGTCCATAAAAATTAATTGGTGTAAACTAAAAGTCAGTTTCCTACTTTCAACTGATACTGAATTTTAGCATGGCCAGGAAAACTGAGAGAGATAAAAACACAAAACACATTTTCCTGGGTTCCTTGCATTGTACACACCCCACTAGACCTGCACAAATATCCATTGGATTGATGACCATTTTGTGAATAAAATGGTAATCTATCAACTCTGAAGAGGCTTGGAGTTTTCAAATTAACATATTCAACTGTAGAGACATAAGAAATGATAAGAGCTGGTGAAATCATAACCAGCACATATCGTATGTAACAAACAAAGATTCACAGTTTTTAAACTCTGAATGCTAAAATCACTCTATTAATTAGATTTATGTAGTACATGTTATTCTGAGGTATAGCTCTTTGAGGTGCCTGCTCTTAATCCTGGAGACTTGGTTTGTCAGAGTGGTAAACCAGCACCAGAGAGACCAAGGTCCAAATTCAGCCTCAGGGCCAGAAGCTTTTCCTGGGTGGTTTTGGGCGTGGCCACCCCACCCTTATTGCAATCTACCTTATAGATTTGTTGTGGGGGGGGGGAAGGGAAGATAGAACACTACCCTGTTTCCCTGAAAATAAGACCTCCCTGGATAATAAGCCCAATCGTACTTTTGAGCACATGCACTAAAATAAGCCCTCCCCTGAAAATAAGCCCTCCCTGAAAATATTGTAACACAGCAGCTGCAACCATGAGTTGACCATGCTTGCCACCTCCTGCACCTCAAAAATAATAAGACCTCCCTGAAAATAAGGCCGAGAGCTTATTTCAAGGGTCAAAAGAAACACAGTAATTATTTGAAAAAAGTGCAAAACGCTATGAAATAAGGAGGGTTTTATGTACATTATCTAGTCAAAGTCTAGTTACAAATATTAAGCTTGCTTAATATCTAATTCTTTGGAAAACAAGAAAAATTAATGCTAAAATGCGCAATCTTTAAATACATTGGAAAAAGCAGATATCTTTTTGGAACATAACACCTAAACTAGGAGTCAGCATATTGCCCCCAACAATCTAGATCCTCATTTTACTAACCTTGGAAGGATGGAAGGCTGAGGCAACCTTGAGGGGGTCAGAATCGAACTCCTGGCAGTCAGAAGAATTAGCATGCAATACTGCATTCTAACCACTGTGACAGCGCAGTAAATAAAAACTAAAACCACATACTAGATACGTATCTTTTTTCTAAAGGGAAAACTCCATTAATTCAAGGTCATCTTTTTGAAATGATGTAACACTATGACGAAATATCAGCCAAACTATAGTTAATGAGCCTTGGTGGCACAGTGATTAGAGTGCAGTACTGCAGGCTACTTCTACTGCCTGCCGGCTGCCTGCAATTTGACAGTTCAAATCTCAGCAGGCTCAAAGTTGACTCAGCCTTCCATCCTTCCGAGGTCGGTAAAATGAGGACCCAGGTTGTTGGTGGCAATATACTGACACTGTATATCGCTTAGAGAGGGCTGTAAAGCACTGTAAACCAGTATATAATCTTAAGTGCTATTACTACTATCGTATCTGAAGCATCATATGGATCACTGAGACCTATGCAGCCTTTACACAGATGACTTATCAACAATAATGCCAAATCTAATCATCCAAACTTTAAACATCTGGCTGATTGTGCAGCGAACCATAATAATATGGATAATAAAAAATTAAAACAAAATAAATTAAAAATGAACATAAAAAGTGTGGATAATCACTGTGGCAATACCAGAGGATAATAGAATAAAAGACAACAATTTGGAGAACAATATAAAACAACATAAATATAAAAGATCCAAAAAATTGAAACATTACAGCATAAACCAATTATGGTGATTCCAATGGCACACTGAGTCCATAACAAAAATATCTTGGATCGCAGTTAGAAAACCTACACATTGACAAAATTTCCATCCGTCAATTACAAAAGGCCACCTGCTTGATCCACACATATACGAAATGGACGGCAAGCAAATTTAATAAATAAATACTATGTCAATATATTACAACATCCTGCGTTCTTGGCAAGAACTCAGTGCTTGTGAAGGCCAACGCTAGTTAAAAACCTCGCAGCTGTGATTTCACATTGTGTATATAATAATAATTTATGAAATCTGCATACAATCAAATAAATTATAATAAAACCAATAAAGATAAAAGATAGCAAGGGAGAGAGAGAGAGAAGTAAGGGGCTCCCTTTTCAAAAGGTTGAGAAGAGCCAAGCCATGGGTTGACAACCCGTGGCTCTGGAGCTGCATGTGGCAACCTGTGGCTCTCTGTCGCTGGTCGGTAAAAGGAAAAAGGATGCTGCACTAGGAGACTCTATGGCAGGGGAACCAGACTTCCGGTTGGCAGAGGAAAAATGATGCTGCACTAGGAGATTCTATGGCAGGGGAACCGGACTTCTGGTTGGCAGAGGAAACAGGATGTAGCACTAGGAGGAGACTATATGGTGGGGGAACCAGACTTCCGGTTGGCTCCAGAATTGAAAGGGGGGCTTCCACTAAGGACCTTTGTGGCTCTTTGAGTGTTTAAGTTGCCGACCCCTGAGCCAAACCATCCATAGTTTGTTAGGAGCAACAAAAACAACAGTTTCCAAACTAGCAAAGATTAAGCATGATAAGGCTCAGTTAGGACACTAAAATATGATATAGGTCATGCCTTCTTTAAAAGATACAGAAGGGCAAAATATAAAAAAAACCTGATCATAAAAGTCAAGCAACTTCTCCCCAGGGGAAAAACAAAACAGAAATCATTATTACTTGTTGGTTTGGAGAATCCAAGAGGTTTTATAAAATATCCAGTGGGAGCGGGGAACACTTCTTCGTGACTCAAAATTGCAATAAATTTGTTCAGCCACAATTAGTTATCTCTCAACACAACCTGCTAGCTTGCAACGTTTTCAGGAGAAACTGAATGAACTCAAAGTCCTTTGCCATAATTAGCCCCGCCATGAAAACAGAACTGCCATGGTCGCATAAGCAACATATTGCTGAACACACTTGAGAGGAAGGTGAGGAAAAAAATGCCAAGAAAGTCTGCAACTCCTGGAAGTGTCTTGCTGAGACAGACAGAATCAAAACATAGTCCTTCTGGCCTGGTAAGCAGGGAACTTCCTATGATGTAACAGATGTGAACTTAACGAGGAGTACTGGGATCTTAATGAGGAGTAACTGGGATCTTAAATGCCTCATTTTATTTAGCTACTGTATTTGTGGGATTTCTGATATCTGATCCCCAATGATGGAGCTGCTTCTTCTTACCACCACCCCCAAGTGCCTATGAATCAGCTTTAACTCCTGGCAACTGCCTGGATAAGCCATGCAATTTCCTTGGCAACGTTTTTGGAATTGATTTGCCATTGCCATCTTCCCAAAGTTGAGAGAGAATGAATGGCGTAAAGTAACCCAGTCTAACCTGCCTAAAGCTGAACTAGAACCCAAGATTTCCTGGTTTCCGGCATGAAGCCTTTACCTCCTACATGCCATTGTAACTAGTGGCGGCAGTGGGAGGCTCCGCCTACTGGCCCGGACGCACACGAGTGAACCAGTAATAAAATAAATTGCAACCCACCACTGATTGTAACAAACTGATTTTGTTATGTCTCCTTCCTCTTCACTATTTTCAATTTTAAAGTTCTCTGCATTCACCCACATAAACAAAATCAGAAAAAAACTTTGGTTGTTCAAAATTACTGGAGCAGATAGCTGCATTATGATGTATGTTACCAACAAAGGGTTTTGGGGACAGCCTATGGAAAAGAAATGATGAAGGAATAATCTGAAGGGGGAAAATTGATCTTTGAACAGATACTTTGAAGAAATGACTTAGAAGCATAGATTTTTCTATAAAACATGTACTTCCAACCCAGAATACTAATTAAAAGACCATTCATTTGCATAGATCCTTTCATACAAAGTTTGTTTCTAATCCCATTTCTGCATAAATGCCCAATGAAATGTTTCAAAGTATCTAACCTTAATGGCTTGGTTGCAATGTAACATTTACATGCTCTTTTTTTTTAAAGCTTGGCATTTAAATGTTGAATATATCTTTACACTTCATAGCATGTGGCCCATCAGACCAATAGACAATATCAAAGTGTTTTACCCATCTACGGAAAACAAAAAGCAAACTACAGTTTGCTATCTAAAACAGCACACTACCACAAGAAAAATTTCCTGAAGTACAGTAAATCTTAACGTTGTATAATCAAGTATGTGGCGTTTACTTCATGTTTACTCTTCTTTGCAAAGAAAGCACTGAGAACAGCACAAAATATTGAGCGACAGCAAAAGCTGGCATGTCAGCCACAATGAGGAAGAAATGGCAGCCAAAACCTTGCCTTCATAAAACCTGACAAGCAAACCTTTGATGAAGTTGGCTAATGACAGTTTCCTTAAACGCATTTCTGAAATCCAATCTCCATGTCCTGGATTAAATGAAACACGGGGGATGAGGAACCCACAAAACAATTCCCAAAATGAAACGACACCTGCACCTTTCAAGGAATGTAACCAGAATCGAGATACTTACTCTGCATTAAATCCATTGACGTGCAAGATCCGCATTTGCTTGACAATTGTGCTTTTACCAGATTCACCAGCACCTAGAAAGCAAAAAAACAAATCCATTTCAGAAAATAATAGAAGAAACCCAGGAGGATGTGTGCGGCTGTACTTGTTCAACAAGCAATATTCCCCCAAATCGGAACGATGCAATCCAAACTTGAAAACTGAAAGGGGGGGGGGAGTAATTGCCACTGGAAACTGCAACTGTAACTAAAAATAAATGCCAAGCTAAAGTGAGAGTGAAGGAATGTTTCACTACCCATTTTTTTCCCCCCAGGGTCTTTATTGAAACAGGCACAATGTAGAAGAACTCCAATACCTTAAGAGGGAAAAGGTAAGCCACCTAATGCTATTACCATTTCCAACCCATGTTAAGGAGCAAGACCAAATTGCTGCAGTCCATGCCGAGCAAAACACTTGCCAGCTTGGTCTAGAGATCCTTCGTGGCTTCTTCCACCTATGCCACAGACAGTCAAATGCACCGAATATCGAAGACACACATTTCCCTGGTTTTCCCTTCACTTCACTGTTGCGTAAAAGTTTCCTTTCGTGCTGTATCTCCCATCTGCCCTCAAAAAAAAAAAAAAAAAAAACCACGGTCTCCCCATTGACTTCCCATATTCTGCATGACCTTAAACTGCCTAGCCAGCCGATATCCTTGGTTGTGCTCCCTTATCCCTTCTCCTTCTCCCCCTCTTGGAACAAGCTTTCTCCAAATCTGCCCCCACTCAGCCAGCCCAGAGGATGGTTTCAGCCACAAAATCTGACGGCCATTAGTTTGCACTGTTTTTACACAGGAGCACAAGACTTGCTTTACTAACGCAGACCCACAGATACCTCAATTCATTTTCTAAGATAGCTTCCCACCAGCCTGAGGGGGAATAAAGGATACACTGCTTAAAGAGGGCATTGCTCATGAAAGCACTGTAGTATCTGTGGTGCCAAGCTTTCTCTTAGCACTCACTAGCAGCACAATCCTCCATTTTGAGTCTCAGACACAAAACTAAATTTTAGCAGCTATATATCAAAGGCTATTTGGCTGCAGGAGGCTCCAATTTTGTCCTTCTCTTTCTCTGTCTTTATCTGCCCTGCCATTCTGGCCCCTGACTACCACAGCATACTGCTAATGATTTCAGCCTTCTTCAAATCCAACCATTAAACGCAGTGAGGCCAAAATATTAAATTTTCACTCCCTTTCCCTTTCATTTCTCATCAATACTGGTGAAAATCAAATTCCCCATTTCTCACAGCCAGACAAATAATTGTATCAAGTCTTTGCCAGTCACAGAGTTGTAATATGTCTTTCCTACCAAGCAGTAAGAGAGCTGATCAAAAGCAAGGGTGTTTCCCACACCTTCCACCTAACTATATATAAGTCTTATAATACTAGACACTTACAAATTGAAACCAACCTCTACTGAAGCAATGGCACATTTAAATGAAAACATTAATTCCAACGTTGTTAATATTGATCTATAAAAGACCAAATTGAACAATTTTTCTCAAATAAATAGAAGCCACAAAACATTTGTCATTAATATGTCAATTAAATATTTCTTCAGTTGAGAAACTACATTAAATATCCTAAAGTATATAAGGCCTTATAAATACGATTGGACAAAGCTTCCACCCCATTTAATTATTCTTAATATATTCATAATGTGCTGGAATACTTGAAATGATCTGCATTGGGCTGTTTTATAGCATTTATAATAGCAAAGGTTTCTTGCTGTTAACTGATTTGTGCAATCATAAAACTACTACTGTGTGTATGATGATACATTTAGGCCCAGCCAAACATAAAAGGAAGACATGTTCTAACTATGAAGAATCTGACATTTTCTTTCAGCACTTTACTGATCATTGGAATTTCAAAAACATATTAAATTGACTGCTATCTCAGCCTAAAACATATGTATATCAAAGTAAATCCAATGATTTAAAAATGTTTTAATATCTAGTATTATATGTATTCTTAAGATTGTAACCCTAGCAATAAGAGTTGTCTGTAATATGTATGTGTAAGGTCAACTATTTCATTCCAACTTAAGTTAAACAGGATCTCGACAAATCATTTATCATAGGAACCATTCTGTTATTCTTCAAATTGATTTTTAGTCCTCCTCCAAATCAACAATGTAAAACTCACACACCTCATTTTTCTTATTTTCTTCCTCCCTAAAATCAGTCTATTCAGAAGGAATATTCTACTAGCAGGCACTATCATATTTAGATAAATACATGTTAGGAAACAGTACTGTTCACTTTATTTTTATTCGGGACCTTCAGATAAAACTGTAGAAAGGGAAGGCCTGTGGGAAAATATATCCAAATAGGCCAGTCTGTGATATTGAAACTGACAAATGCTAAAACTCCAACTCTTTGAACAAAAAGACTTATACCCAGTCCAATTTTCAACAAAAGTATCAAAGAGAAGAATGCAACCCAATCCCAGTATTTAAAATTTAATCAAGTATTAGGTTTTTTTTTTAGCCCACTCCCTTTCCCAAAGAAATACCTGTATTTTTCTCTCTCCACCTGACCAATATACTGCAAAAAATTCAAGAGACTTCCTGCAAGGATTCAATGTGCCATCATCATCAGACAGCAGAGCGAGTCCTGATTCTCCTTATATCCTATGTTTCCACCTACTATATTTACTTCAGTTCCCACCAACGGCCTGTGGCATCAAGTACCTTGACGGAAGTGCCGAATATTCTGTTGCATCCCCAAAGCCAATCACGTCAATATCAATCAAAATATTTTCTTTACGTGAAAGTGGCTTTTCCCTTCAACAGTTCACTTGGACAGTGAACAGCTGCCCAAATCATGACTTGAAAAGAGGGGCACCACTTCACCCACCCTTATCACCCCAGCACAAGCAAATGACAGGCGAGACGGAAACAGAAGGGCAGAGGTAGAATGAAGCATTTTTTTTATTTTTTAACCAACTTTGGGGGCAAAAAAAGGTCCCAAGCCAAAAAGACCAAGGGCTGTCAAAGGAGAAGGATGGGGGTCTCATGGGGGGGGGGGGAGAGAAAAAGGAGTGTTATTAAAATAATGACATTATTATCATCATCATGTGTCATCTGTGGAATTTTCTGGCAAGGAAATGACCAGGCCACCCCCTTCCACCTTAAGCCCACAAAAAGGGATAATTTTAAGAGAGGGGAGAAAGACCCCCGCCCTGACCTCACCTGGAGATCTTCCTAGTCCCTTCCCTGACAGGGTCACCCACAAAGGGGTTTAGTCCAAGCTGCAAGATGGGGAGACCATTAGGGAGGGCCAAGGCCTACTTCTTTCCGACCACCAACCCCAGCCCCTTCGCATCCCCCCCCCCTTCCTCTTGGCATCTCGGTCTCGCTTCCTTACACCCGGGGATGTCAAGCCGGGGCCGCCAGCCTGGGAAAAGGGCAGAAAGCAAAACCCCTCCCGCCCTGTCCTCTTCCTGGCACAGGGCCCGCTTCATTGGAGGCGGCGGGCGAGACAGCCAAGCAGGGCCCCACCTCTGCTGCCCAGTCCCCGCCACCCAGCCCACCCGTCGTCGTCCCCCCCGGGCCCCTAGGAGAAGGCGGGGGGCTCTTCCCCTCTCTTCCCGCCCCCGACGCCCGCGCGCCTTACCCAGCAAGAGGAGCCTGTGCGTGGCCCTGTAGACCTGTTTGTCCTTCTGCAGCTGCTTCTCGATCTTCTTGTTGGCCTCTCGCTGCGCCTTTTCCTCGTTGCGCTGATCCTCAGTCTTGCTGTTCCCTAAACAGCCCATCTTGGGGGGGCGGGTGAGTGCAATGGAGGGGGAGGGGGGGAAAGGGGGAAAGGAAGGGAAGCAGGAAGCGATCGGGGGTGGCGGGCGAGGCGGCGGCGAGTCTCCTTGCCCCCCGTTCAATATTATCCTTTCACGCACAGCTGTCGCTACCCAAAGACATGGAGAACCCGGAGCCTACAACGGGGTGGGGGCCGGGGAAAGGGGGGGGGAAGAGCGATGACTTTGCTACTGCTCAAGCCGGGCCTTCACCTCCTTCTCCCCTAACACCGCCGCCAGATCCGCTCGCAATGCAGATTTCCCCCCCAATTAAAAAAAAAGCGCGCACACACAAACACAAAAAAGGGGGGGAAGGCAATTAGGGAGGGGGGGCAGGGAACGTCGGGAGGTCGGCAGCCACCCGAAGGGGGAAGGATCACGGGTTAAAAATTGGCTTCCCTTTTCCTCCTTCCCCCCCCACCAAACCCCGCAGGGAGAGCCACCACCAAATCTGGGTGGGTTTTTTTCTTTAAATATCTCCAGCTTCCACGCCACCTCCGCCGGTGGGGGTGGTGGGGAACAGAATCAAAGCCAAATTGTCTTTTTCTTCTTCTTCACTTTACATATAATCCTTCAGGATCGAGGCGACGGCGGCAGCAGCAGCAGCAGCAAGCTCCAGAAAGCCGGAGGAGGGCAGGAGGGAGGGGGGGGGAGACCCTCCCAACTCCGGGCACCGAAGCTCTAGCAACGTCCCTCTCTTCTTTGGCTGCCCCCTTTTCTCTCTCTTTTTTTTTGGGGGGGGCGCGCTAAAAATTGCCCCTTTTCTCTCTGTCTCCTCCTCCGCCTCGCGGCTCCCCCTTCCAAGGCGCCTCTTGCAAAGTGGGTGAAGCGCCCGAAAAGGGTCACCGCTAACCTTTCCGCGGCGTCGGGCAAGGCAAAAGAAGGCGAGTCCCTTCTGCGTTCCGGGCTGGGCTGGGTAGATTTTCCTCCTTCTCTCCAGCCTGCGGTGCGGCGGCGGCGGCGGCGACCGTGCGTCTTCCTGCCCTTAATGGTGGTTTGTACAAATCCAAGGCCCTCTCCGCCTTTCTCCTTCTCCTCCTCCTCCTCGCCCTTTTGCTTATTCACATTCGGCTTCCCGGCGGCTCGATCGGCTCTCGCCTCTCCGGCAAATGCGGGGAGACGAGGGGTAAAGGGGACGGGAGGGGGGAGGAGGAGGAGGAGGAAAGAGGCAGCAGAGAGGAAAACGCAGTGTGGATCTCCTCCCCCAAAACAAAAATAACTCTCCTATGGGGGAGCTTCCCTTCCGCGGCCCCCCCTTCCCCGCTCCCTATTTAATTTGCCTTCCTCTTCCCTGCATTTCCCCCGCCGAGGAGGGCGATGGGGGGGGGGCGATTTTAATATTAAAAGCGAGCGAGGCAGGGGAGCGCGAGCGAGGCAGCGACGGGGTGGGGCAACCTCGGCTCAGAGTGAACCATGGGAACTCAATCATTCACATGATACCCAAACGTCAGGAGTTAACTGACTAGAGGCGCCCTCTTCAAACGCCCGCAGGGAAAGACGGAAGGGGGGGGGGGACGGGACGGGCGGTGGCTGCACGTGTTGCGTTGCCCGCTCCTTCCTAGCTTCACCCGCCCAGGTGTATGTGTCTGTTAAGGTGAGGGGGGGTTATTCCTATTAAGACAAGGAGGGGGGGCATCTCTTTTTCATTTCTTTCGGAAAACGCTTGCAGTTTCTCTTCCGAGCGTAACTTTCCTCAGACCGATGCAGGGCTGGGAGGGGGGGGGGAGAGAGATAGGCTCGGGGCACAAAACTCATCCTCGTTCCTCTCTCTACCGGCCGCCCGCCCCGAAAATGGAGGGGCCCAGATGGACCCCACCCGAAGGAGAAATCCTGGGGCTTGTTGGAAAACCTCGAGGGGAATGAAGGAGAAGGCGGGGAAATGGGGAGAGCCGGGGAGCAAACGCCGCCGATCCTGGCAATTAAGCAGTCCTTAAAAGGAGGGGACAAGGTGGGGTTAGGGATCCTGGCTGGGAAGGGAAGACCTGCCGTTCTGTAGCCTCACTGGAGGGGGGGAGGCAGGGAGAGCCAAAAGCCTGGGAGGTGAGGGGGGGGGGGAGATGCGCTAATTCTGGGGGAAGAGCAAAGATAGGCTCCATTTTACGCTTATTACGTTGCGATCGTGTCTGAATCGATCCAGTATAACTCTTATTCCAACCATATACCTGACCCTGTGGTTTCTTCCCCAAACCCCCCATCACTAACCTTAGACTGTCTACCGTCGACCTCACCCCATTCCTAAGAGGTCTTTAAGGGGAGTGCATAAGCGCACCAGCGTGCCTACCTTCCTTGTCCTAATATTCCCTTGCATTCGTATTCATTTCATGTATTCATAATCATGTCTATACTTTATATCTAATTCATGCTTGACAAATAATATATATATTATTTGTGTGTGTGTGTGTGTGTGTGTATATATATGTATATATGTATATATATATATGTGTGTGTGTATGTATGTATGTATGTATATATATAACGATCCTATCTGCATTAAACCCAAGGAGAATAAACCTGTTCCTTTGCAGTCCTTCGAGACCAAGCAGCGTCTGAATTGTGTTAATTTAATTACCTGCCTTCATGTTGGATACACAGGATCTTTCCTCCTGTTTGCAAGTATTGTGTTAGATTTATATTCTGCCTGTCCTCCCAACAATTCAAGGCAAGGTTTTATGGTATTTTTTACCGATCAATCAATTTATAGGCGGCTTCAATCACAACTGCAAATCTATGCGTTTAAGGAATATAGATAATTAGGATTAAGACAAGAAGAGTCAGAAAAATAAAATAGCTAGAATCCATAATACAGGAATTAAAAAAAAAAAACCTGCTACAAAAGTGTAAATGGAAAGTCGGGTCATAAACCATCCTGCTCCTGGATGCACCAAAACAAACAAACAAACAAACAAACAAACAAACAAAAAAGCCAAATCTGCAAAATATTTGAAAACAGGTTATGGTTTGTTGAATGAACTCTGGTTAAGACAGCCTACTAAACCCAACTGAACAAACTACTTTAGAATTTAGTTCAGGCATGATCCTAGTTATATTAAAATCAGTCACACTGCTTTTTGTTAAAAAATATTTCATATTTTAAAAAGCTGTTTTCCTCATATTGTTAAACCACTGGGAACAGAAAATCCTTGGTGATCAATTAGATTTGGAAATATCTCAGTAGAATCAAACTGTTTTGCTGTCTATGCTTTGCTTCAAGCAGATTAAGGCCTCTTCTGATACTATTTTATAGCTTATCTAACTTTTGCCTCAATTCAAAACCCTTCTTTCTTCCCAGATTCTCATATCCAGACCCATTCAATACCGAGTTAAGGTCAAGTACAATTGAGCTTAATCCCAGGTGAATAAAAAAATGACATTAAAAAAAAGTTAGGTCAACAATTAGAATTAGTTTTAAAAATTCAGTTCAAGTCGTGGATAATGGAATTTATATTAGACAAGAGAAGCATAAAGTCAGATGATCACAAACCCAACTTGTTCTCAGTTTATGAGACTATTTCAAAAGCAATTACAGGTAATCCTTGACCACAATGAAGCCCAAAATTTCTGTTGCTAAGTGAGACATTTTTAAAGTGAATTTTACCCTATTTCATGACTTCTTGCCACAGTTGTTAAGTGAATCATTGTTAGTAACACGGTTGCAAAGTGAATCTGGCTTCCCCATTTTTGCTTGTCAGAAGGTTACAAAAGGTGGTCCTTTGACCCTGGGACACTGCAGCAGTCACAAATATGAGTCAGTTGCCGAGTGTCTGAATTTTATGATCATGGGGATGCTACAATGATCATGTGTGAAAAATGGTCATAAGTCACTTTTCAGGGCCATTGTAACTTTGGTCACTAAATGAACTCTGATAAGTCGAGGACTACCTGTACATATATCCCAGGCTGCAAAGGTGATAAAAAGGGCAGCCAAAATTAATTGAAGGAAAAATAAAACCAGAAGAGTATGATATAACTTTCATTCTGTGATGTAAGAATCCTGTATTTTAGCAGCAATGGTCAGATTTGGGGTTTTGCGAAAAATGTTAGAAATGCTGCCACAAAATGGCTCTCGTGGGGAAAATGTCAATTTAAAAAATGGCTGTTGTGAGCAGTGCAAAATATCAGGTTTAAAATAATGAAATATATGACTATTGATAGTAAGAGCTTTAAAATATTATGGAGTAAACTTTTTGTTATTTTTTATAATTCATTTTAGTTACCAAGCAAAGAATTGAATCCTTTCTGAATTGCACATATATTTCCCTATTAGATATAGAACCCTAGAAAGAAGATTGTTGAATTCATTGGAAACAGTAGCCATAGTGTTATTAAAACTGTAAGTGAATTACCAAGGAAGTCCAATATAATCACATTTGACCTAAAATGTAACCAAATTTGGATATACTAGTCTCTTAGAAAATAAAGGAATGGATCTTATTTTCTTAGATGATAAAGGAATTCCTTAAATGATAAAGAAATGGACCTTAAATGGGGGGGAGCATACGTACACATAGTACATGGTAGAAATGGAAAATTGTTAATGATGTTAAAATAATACTAATCTATCAATCAGAGCTGGAAACCACAAAGAAGAATAACTTTGAAGAGTTAAAAAATATACAAACAATCTTAAGTTATTTATGTCACTTTTCAGATAATGTAGAATGACTTTTTTCTGCCTGGAGTAGCATTTTGAAAAATAGAGCTTGAGGAACCGAAGCAAATCATGGTGAAAAGTGATAAAAGTTTTTAGAACTTCTTGGAAAACTGAAAGTAAATCAGAGTCCAGATGGTTGCCACCCAAGATTTCTGAGCAGAAATACTTCTCCAAGATCGGCCTCTGCATTAGAGGACTAGAAAGGAATCTGGTGCTTCTAAAAAACTGCCCTGGCTAGCTTAAAAACCTGTTCTGAGCAATTATTGAAGATAAAATAAACATTCTTGCTGAAGAATGGCTTCCTCCAAGTGACATCTTCGTTCACTGATGATATATACATGA